TGCTTTTTTCCCTCTTTTTCCATAGGGCTCACCACAAGAGCATACCCTAATAAATCCTCTCAGCGACTGCATCCCAAAGAATCCTCTCGGGGACTGCATCCCAAAGAATCCTCTCGGGGACATCGTCATAAAACATATGCAATCTTTTGGGGTTGCACATGGTTAATTTTGGTAAATGTTCCATATTTGCAAAGGACGTGAATTTTTCTTTGGGCGCAGTTTTCTGTAAATGTCATTTTCAACCTTTTCTGTTCAGTCTTCTGTAACCTTACTGGTACTGAAAAAGGTATGTTGGCATTTGCAAAATTACTCTGCATCGCTTCTTTCTCCTTTTAATCTATAGGGTTTTTTCTTTGCTTACATTTTTGGAACTTTGCTGTTGTGTGTTAAAAGATTTAGTATGGTGTTATTCCAGGATAAATTGGTCACTTTATCCATAATAAGGTATCTTTTATTTCTAGAAGTGTTTCTTTAAATTCTATTCTGTCTGATACTAACATAGTTGTACCAACTTACTTTCGATGTTTTCACTTTTTTATTTTAACTTTTTATCCATTTTGATGTCATAGGTAGTTTTTAAAAAAATTTTCATATTCACCTAAACTTTAGTGATGCATTCTGAAGGATAAAAGCAAGTTTCAATTTCCAGAGCTTTGCTAGTATAAAAATGCCTCCCAAATGTGATTTATTTCATGATGGGTTTTATAACTATATTTGTGTGCATATGCATACAATAAAGAAAAAAAAAACAGATTTCAGTAGTATTTCTTTTAGTATTCCATCTTTATTTTGTTGTTTTGGCATAAATCTGTATAATCTGCTTTCTACATTCTGGACATTAGATAATGGTATCACCGTATGCCCAGATAGTCAAGACAAAACCTGGTCTATGTAATAACTAGACTATGTCTTATCTTTGAAACCATACTTGTTTTATATTTCTTTTCCTTGATTTTTATATTGTAAATGAATAAAGTGGTAATAATGGGCATCTTTGTCTTTAGTCTGGCCCTAAAACAAGATGCTGCACTGTTTAAAACAAAAAGCATTACATCTGTTATAATCTGCTTTTGTTGATGCTGCCATTTTGCTTAGATTTATTAAAATCACATTGAGTTTGTTCTCTTCTAAAATGAAATATTTTATGAGTAGATGGTGAGCATGTGTGTGGACATGTGTGATTAATTTCTAAAATTCTCTTTCTGGATGCATTAATTAATTTTTTAACAATATGTTAGTGTGGTGAGTTAATTTAATGCATTTTTTTAGTAATGACATATTTCCACAGAGAGAACACCTACTTAGTCATGTTTTACAATTATTTACGAATTTTGCTTTTTAATTATTTTGTAAGTAAAAGGACCTAGAACTTCCTTTTCTCATACTTTATTTGTCCTCTATATAACAACATTACATTTTAAAATGATATTGCATAATCTGAAGGGTTAGCTAATTTATCTTCTATTCTCTGAAAAAGATATCTTTCTTTCCTTGAATATTGTGTAAAGCCATAAAACCATTGGACTAGTAAGATTTTGAGGGCAACTTATTTAAATTATGAATTCAAATACTTTCATGATTATAAGGATAATCTACAATCAGATATTGTATTTCCACCTGAATCAAAAGAAACATGAGTTTTGTATCCCACATATGAGTGAAATCATATGATTTGCGTTTTTGATGTCACTCATGAGAGATATAGACCTGAAAGCAACAAAAGAACAAGACAAACAGAGACTCATGGACATTGACAACAGTTTAGTGGTTACCAGAGGAAAGTGGGGAGGGGAAGGTACTTAAGGATAAAGGGGGTCAAATATATGGTGATGAAAGGAAATTTAATTTGGGGTAGTGAACCCACGATGCAATATACATATGACATATTACTGAACTGTACACTTGAAACCTATATTATTTACCAATGTTACCCCTATTAAATTTAATAAAATAAAATAAAATTATGGGCAGAAAAACAAATGTCAACATGGCAGACTTAACAAAGCATATCAATAACCATAGAAAAAGAATTTGATAAAATTTCTCTACCCACTTCCTGTGTTCTATACATACTAATTAAAGTCAAGGTGATTATTAGTATTTTAAGGCTTCTAGATCCCTGTTGATTATCAATCTGATTTTTTTTATCATTTACTGAGTTTTTAAGTCACTAATATAATTATGGATTTGTCTACTTTACTCACATCTATAGGTTTCTAATTCACGTTCTTGATGCATTCTTAGTAGATGCAAATATTTTTAGTTTTATTATGCCATCATGATAAAGTAATTGGTTTATCATTATGAGATGCTACTACTCATCCTGGTAATATCCTTGTTCTTCAGTCCACCATCCTGATATCAATTTATCAACTTGTGCTTCCTTCTGATTTGGATTTTAGTAAAATATAGGTTTCTTTATTCCTTTATTTTAATCTATTCATCTCTTATACTTAAAGAGTATTTCTTGTAAACAACTTTCAATTTTTTCACCCATTATGACAATCTCTGACTTTAGTTGCAAAGTTCACATCAATTACTTTTAATGAAATTCATGTATCAGAGTAGAAGCCAACTCTCTTGCTGTTCCTTTACGGCATATCTTATCATCTGTTCTTTCCCCCATTTTCTTTCTTCTATATTTTTCAATGGGAATTAGATATATCAATATAAACATATTGATAAACTTATAAACATGATCTATCAATATAAACTTTAATATTTACACATGTGCATATTTATACACACATCTACACACATGTGCACACACACCTTATATCTGTATTTCTGGGAGTATGCACACATATTTTCTGGCTTGGGCCACTGAGTTATATATAAGCAATGAAACCCCAGTAGCAGTTAGCATACCGAGCATACAGAGATTGGATTCTAAACACCGTTTTCCACTCCCCACTAAGAGCACATAGTTTCTTTAATTATAAATTAGCTAAAATCCAATTAATGACATATACTGAACAGTAAAGAAGAAAACATGGTAAGAACTGAAAAATTTAACAGAAAAAAAGGGCTTACGGAGATAATAAAAATCGATAGGTTTAAACCCAACTATATCAAGAATTTGAATTTGTAATTAATAATATTCTCACAGAGGAATCTCCAGGTCCAGAGATATTCATTCAGTTGGTGATCTCTACTAAACATTTGAATAAGGAAAAAAGTGCTAATCTTACAGAAATTCATGGAATATAGGCAGAACCCTTCCCATCTAATTTTATGAGGCAGTGTAATCCAGATACTGCAACAAGGCAACTATATTCCAAGAAAGTAAAATGCTTCTCATGGTCATAATTACAAAGTCCTGAACAAAGTACTCACAAATTATATCCAACCCACTTAAAATATATCATGACAAAATGGCTCTTATCCCAGGAATGAAAGGCTGATTCACTACACTGACAGAAATGTATATATAAATACACACAAAGATATGTATACTAATATGTAATTGCAGATAAATCGATCCATCAAAAAAAATAAAGTTTCCTAAAATCTAATAAAAGACATTTGAGAAATCTAGAGCCAACACCATATTCATTTTTGAAATATTGTTTCCTCCTACAGTAAAAAAAGAACAAACACAAAAGCATCAATAAACTAGATGAACTATTACCTGCTATTTAATATCATATGGGATTCCAGCACAAAAAAAGACTGAAATATCAGGGGAAAAAGAACAAAATTGTCCTCATTGGGAAATGATATGAATGCAATACATAGACAAGAAAGGGGAACAGAAAATTATTATTAATGACAGTGATTATTTGCAAAATTAACATACTTAAATATATAAAAATCTATTTTATTTCTATAAAATGAGACAGAAAGAGTTATAAAGAACACTTGCCAAAGCATCAGAAAGCATAAAAAGATATCCAGACTCTACATAAAAAATACAAAGCATGCCAGAGAAAATTAAATAAGACCTAAATAAATGAAAAAGATGTACCAATTTCATGCATTGGACATGCTGATATTAAGATTTTATTTCAATCAGAATTGACTTGTAGTTTGAATGTTAGCTTAATGGTAAAATTTGGCAAGATAATTTTAAGTTTATATATAAATGCAAATGACCTATAATAATACATAAAATAATTCTGAAGAAAAGCAAAAAGTAGAAAGACTTAAAACACTAAATTTCAAGACTTACTCAAAAGCTATAGTAATTAATATAGGGCACAACTTATGTTAAGACTATTAGAACACCTGAAAAGAATTAAGGCTAGAATAATCTACAAAAAATATATATATTTTTGACAGAGGTACCTATTTAAATTAATGGGAAATGGGTGATATTTTCAATAAATAGAGGTAAGTCAATAGCCACTCATATGGGAAAAAATGACCCTTGACCCCTGCACCATATCATTAAAATTAATTTAGA